CGCCGCGTGGAAGAGCGACACAAACGACTGGAACGTCGACGCCTTCTTGCGCGTGGGTGCAACGTCCTCGTCGACCTCGGACGCACTGTCGTCGCTGCCCGAGCCGCTGCCATGGTCGCTGCCATCGCGCTCGTCGTCTTCGTCGTCGTCGCCGCGGCGGCCCTTGGTGGCCTTGCGCAGCTCGTTGTACTGCTGCGCCTTGACCTGCTCGTACGTGAGCGCCTTGTCGCGCTGCGTGTTGCGCCGGTTGACGTTGGTCTTCTTCCACTGCGCGAACATCGAGTCGAACTTCTTCTTGGGCGCGGGCTCGGTGGCCATCGCCGGCTGCTTGTCCTCGTCGTCCCACGCATGGCGCTTGCGCTTCCCGCCCTTCTTCTTCCCGCCCTTGGCCATCGTGCTCCTGCCAACGAAATGGGATTTGGTTGGTGCAATCTCAACGTCACGTCGCCCAATCCTGGCCTTTGACGCAAAGCGGTTGCGTCCAACCACGCGTTTTATACCGCAGACGGCGTTTAAACGTATAAACCCACTAAAACCATATTGGGTGTTGAAGTTGTCTACCACTGCATGGAGGAGCTGGTGAGACCCGCGCGCGGGTTCTGCGCCATCTCGAGCTCTTGGATGAGCCGCGTGATATCGTTGAGCTGCGCCTTGAGCTGCTGCATCTGGGTCGCGTGGTCCTTCTTCATCGTGCTGATCACACCCCGCATCTCGGTCATCCACTCTTGGTGGGCATCCACCGGCGCTTCAAACCCCACCTTGTAGTCCGACTTGAGCACGATCTGCCGAAACGACGGGTTCAAAATGCCCGTGTGCCGGCCCGACGAGGGCTGCGGCGTTGGCCGGGGCACGACCAGCGGCTTCGCCTCGTCGGTCGCCAGCGACTGCATGCGGAGGTTGGCGCTGCGGAAGCTCAGGCGGCGCGCCGGCGCGTCGACATCGTCCGGCAGCACTACACTCCTCGCCGTCAGTTCATCCTCGATCCTAGATTGGCATCAACGCACGGGACTGGTGGCGGTGGAGGAACTTGGGCTTGATAACGTAGATCATCTCGTTGCGCTCCTGGGGTGCGAGGCTGAGTTCGAGCCGGAGGATGCAGTTGGCGTAGCTCGCTAGCGCCTCGAGCTTGGCCTTCTCGAGGCCCTCGTCCAGCGTGTTGTTCATCATGGCGATGAGCACGTTGAGGAGGAGCACGATCGCGATCGCCATGTGGAACATGAGGAGACCCATTGCGAAGACATACAAGACGGGCTGGTCGTCGCTCAGCGCCTACGACGGCTTCGAATCCGCGATCGTATCAAAGTATCAATTCGTACATCGATCGGGCCGGTCTGGATCTGCCCAAAGAGCACGAAGAACACCGTGACGAAAGTCGCTGGAAACGACTCGTAGCCTTCGCTGCCTTGCAGTAAAATGTAGTACGCGCACGTCAAACCCGCTACACCCGCAGTAGTATCAGGACACCGTAGCGTCATACACTGTATGCACCTTGGAAGACGCCATACAGAATGAGGAACCGCATGCTGTCTTGGAGGAGGCGGCGCATCATGGGCAAGAGGTATCCGGTCGTCGGGTGCACCTCGAGTTGCTGCAGAAACAAGATCCAGAGCGCGAGGCAGAGAAACCCCACGAGGCAGAGCTATACGGTACTTTAAGACCCTGCATCGCGTCGTCATTGTTGTACCTGGTACTCGCGGAGCATGCTCGCGTGCGAGAGGCCGAGCTGGCACGGCACGTAGACAAAGATGATGAGCAGGTAGACGCTCATCTGGGTCGCGTTGACGAGGCTAAAGTACTTGCGGAGGCCGTAGCCCAAGAGCTCCTTGTACTCCCAGTAGCAAAAGTACATGGCGATGCCCCACAGCACGAGGTTGTTGATGGCCTGGTACCAGTTCTTATAGCCGCGGATCGTGGCGTCGTCGAGGTGCAGAATGCAGAGGCAAATCGGGATGCTCACGACAACGCTCCAGAAGAGCGCGTGGGCGACGAGGAGCCGCTTGGCATGCGACTGCCACACGGGAAAGTCGGGGATGTGCTCGTGCCAGTTGACCCCAATGTACGTACCCTAGCCCCATACCCGTTTTGAAAAAATAAAAAATCGAAGTGGCAACGCACCCGCAACAAAAACGCAAAAAAGCCGCTGTACGTGCCGTCGCGGGACCAGCGCGCGAGGCTCCAGAGCCGCTTGGGCTTGAGACCATAGTGCGCGATCACGTACGACACGACGACCCACACGCAGAGGATGCTCCAGAGCTAAGTTTCGTAAAGTTTCGTAAAGTTTCGTAAAATTTCGACAAAAAACGCACCATGATGCCAAAGCGGAACGTGTCCGTGTCGAAGGTCGCGTTCGTCGTCGTCGTCTGCGTGGACGACGTGCCATTGCTTGCGGTCGGGAACGAGATGACGGCGATGAGCGACCGCGTGCCGTTGGTCGACGTCTTGTTGCGCTGCCAAATGACGTTGGAAATGTCCTTGAAGACGGGCGGCGGCGTCACTTCGGCCGCGTCGTCGAGCTGGTAGAGACAACCCGAGAGCACGGACGACGCCAGCAGCAGAATGTACATGAGGAACTGCTCAATGTACATGCGCTGAGCAAAAAACTAGTTCAAAAGAATTCCCTTACCCAGTGCACAAGGAAGATGGGAAGTGTTACCTCCCACTTGAGCTGGAGCACGCGGCGCATGACGACATGCTGGAGGCAGTGCTGCTTGACGCCCTGCTCGGCCTCGTCGTCGCCTTCGAGGTTGAGAATCGAGTAGAGCGCGCTCTGCTGGATCGTTTCCCGGCCGTAAATGCGATCCAGCTACAGGTAATACTACATAAAGAAATGCGCCCACGAGCCCGCCACGTACGTCGCGAAACTCGAGGCTGTAGCGACCGCTCTCGACGACAAAGGCGTTGAGGATCTCCTTGCCGAGCTTGGGGTCGCACTCGATCGCGCCTAGACGCATCGCCCATTCGCTTATCCAGTACACAGAGTACAATGCGACGACCTTTGAACATGAGCTCGTTGAAGCGCAGCTCGGTCGCGTTCTTCTCCAGAATGAGCTTGACGAACACGGCCTTGTCCTTGGCGACCATGAACGCGGTCTTGCCGCCCTTGTCCGTGCCGCCGATCTGCGCGTTGCGCTCCAGAAGCAGCTGGATCATGGCTGTGTGGCCCAAGGAGGCTGCGTACATGAGCGCCGACCAGCCGTCCTGCATGTTCGCATCGCCTTTTTTCTTTTCTCTCAAGAGTGCAGTACCTCGTCGCGCTCGTCGGGGTCGGCGTCGGTATCGAGCACCAGCGCCGCCTTGGCCACGTCGCCTGCGCAGAGATCATCGTTCGACTCGGTTTGCCTCGAGAGGGGATACCGCAGCGAGCGTGGTACAGAAGCGGGTAGCGCTCGCGGAACGCCATTTCCTTCTCGAGGAGCGCGCGGCAGACCTTGTGGTTGTTGTCGGTCGCGTAAAAGAGCGCGTTGGACCCGTCCTAGGTCGGAATTCGCACACTCAAGTACACCCAACGCCACGGCACCGTCTCTTCCGCGTTGAGGTTAGCGTTGCGGTCGAGGAGCAGCTTGGTCATGTCGGCATGGCCGTACTGCGCCGCGAGCATCAGCAGCGTCGTTCCGTGCTAAGAAATGTCATAGTTGTATCAAGTTGATACGAAACATCGTAGTACCGGGTTGCGCTGCTCAATGTCCATGGTCGGGTTCTGCGTAAGAATGTCTCGGAACGTCGACAGGTCGCCCGACTTGACGACGCGGTAGAGCATTTCGCGCTCAAGCAAGTGCCGGCAGTCGCCCACGGCCATGGCCAGCGCGTCGATGCCGTTCTACAATTCTCTAAATCAGTACCGAAAGGAATCGGGACTGTACGTTGTCGCAGGCGTCGACGGCCACTTGGAGACTCAGGAGATACTCGACAATGGCCACTTGGTTGGAGCCCGCGGCGTACATGAGCGCGGTTTTCCCGAGCTAGACACCATGTACTTGTTTAGACGAATTGGTTTAACCGAATGTACCTCGTCGCGGTCTTCGATATCCACGTGCTGGCGCACGAGCTGCTGGAGTGGCTTGAGCTGGCCAACTTTGGCAAAGTACAGCAACGGGTGACGCTCGCGCATGTCGAGGAGCGACCGGCAGCTCATGTGGTTCTTCTCGGTCGCGAGATCGAGCGCCGTCTTGCCGTCCTAGCCTCCTCACTTGATACGTTGATACTTTATAGAAAGAGAGTACGTGGTTGCGCAGCGTAAAATTGGCGTGGAACTGCAGCAAGAGCTGCAAAATACTCAAGTAGCCTTGCGTCGCGGCCACCATGAGCGACGTCAAACCGCCCTGCGCGTCTTCTCAGAAAGTTCGAGGAAGCGACAACGCACCGTGTTGAACGTGGCGTCGACCGGCGCCTTGTGCTGGAGCAAAAGCAGCACCACATCGTGGTACCCCTTGCGCGTCGCGACCAGAAGCGCTGTCGAGCCGTTCTAGATCCACTGGATGATGAAAAACACTGGAAAAGATTGCGTGTCGCACCGACGAGACGGCCTGGACGCGCGCGCCTTTCCCAAGGAGGAGCTTGACGCACTCGTAGTGGCCCATCGCGGACGCGTACATGAGCGCAGACCAGCCGTCGTCGTTGTACGCCTCGAGCTCCGTATCGAACTGCAGGAGCACGCGGAGCACCTCGACGTGGCCGTTGATGCAGGCGGCCAGGAGAGGCGTGCTGCGTGCCTAGTAACACTGTAACATATTCTGTCTGGCAGATCGAATGGCGCGTACGTAGTTGAAGACGGTCGAGCGCGCGTTGGCCTGGA